CCCGCCGGCCCCGCCCCGGCCTGGCCGCCCCGCCCCCGGCTCCGCCGCCGCGCGCCTCCCAGGCCTCGCGTGCCCCCCTCCTCCCCTCCCCGCTCCTCCGCTCCGGCTGGGCCGCCCGGCGCCCCCTCCGTGTGGTCCCCGCGCTGCGCCCCCTGCCGGCTGCCGCGCTGCGCCTCCCGGGCGGTGGCGCGGGGCGAAGGGGGCGGCCGGGGGCTTCACTCCCGGCCGGCACCACTCTTCCCAGATGCTTCCACGACCGCGCGCGGATGAGGCCCATAGGAGGGGAGGGGGCCCGTGCGCTCGGCGACGTGGGGAAGGTTTGGAGCATGGAAGCTGTGGGGTGGGGGGGCGGGTCTCAGCCCCGGAGTCGGGTTTCTCAAAGTGGGCGCCGCTGAGCATCAGAGCCCAAGTCGTCCGAGGGCTGGTTGAGAACGCAGCCTCCCGGGCCTCGCCCCAGACCCGCCCGATGAGAGTTTCCGCGGCGGGGCCTGGCAAGCTGCATTTTTAGCCAGCCTCTCCGCTGATTCTGACGGACACTCCTTTGAGACTTGGCCAGTGGCGGCGGGCGGTGGTGCTTGAACCAGAAACCAGGTGCAAGGCTGCTTGTTGTGTGCGTGTTCTTTTAGGGAGAGCCCATTGCTTGCATCAGTCAGTGTCAAAGGGTTTGGACCATCCAGGTGCAAAGAACAGCTGTCTTCTCTTGCTCTCGCTCTCACACCTCTGGAGAAGGGGCCTGGGGGTAACCCCCGTGCGAAAAAGCAGAAGCATGCCTGCAAGCAGCCCCACAGCACGTTCCTACCGTCCCCTCCCTTCCTGGCTCCACGCCAGACCAGCCCTCACCCCCTTGGTGCGGCAGATCCCCCGGGGTCAGACAGTGCTCGGAAAGCTGACCACAGCCCTGCCAGAGAGAAGGCTCAGGCACCTGGGGACCTCCTCTGTCGCGACCCGGATCACCCTGGTCTCAGGGTCACGGCTGCGGGAGGAGCAGCAGTTGTGTCGCTTGCCTCTGACCCAGGCCCCGGGTGCTGCTCTGGGGGAAAGGACAGCGAGGGATGTAGGGCAGGAGAGTCGGATCCCGAATCAGAGAGAGCTGAAGTCCACTGTGTCCTGAGCCCGGAGCATCAGGCAAGTCCTCAGCTCCCTCCTGTGCCGCGTGGGGGGAGAACACTGTGCCCTGAACTGGGAGGGCAAGAGAAGGGGTGCAGAAACCCCAAGCAGGGCGCACGTGCCCCACAGACCACTCGCCTCCTCCCACTCTGTGACTGAACGCTGGGTCAGCCCCCAGTACCTGGAGGGCGGCCTGTGTGTCCCCCGGCTGGCTCCCTCTGCCCTCTGGACGCCCCACTCGCAAGGGCCCACCTCTGCCGGCAGAGAACACTGTCTTCCTGAAGGCTGGCTTCGCAGGGCTGGGCGACATCTTCCGAATTCACCTGCACCCTCTGCGTGTAGAACACACCTGTTGGCATCTCCAGAGAACGCCGGCCAGGAAACACTTCGGTGCCTCTCATCTCTAACCTGCAGGACCACGAGGCAAAGTGGCCTGCAGGAAACGCGCTGACCAGGCCCCTCCCTAGGGACGCTGGGCTCCACTCCGCTGGCAGGTTGGCCGGCGGGAGGGCGTGTGGCTGGAGCAATGCCATCTCAGTGGAAGAGGGCCCAGGCCATCCCCGCTAGGATCTGAGTGCCACCCCCTTCCTCTCCTCCAGAGACCTGGTTCCGTCCTGCTCCTTGCTCTTAATTTCACCCCCAATTTTCCCTCTTTTCTGGCCTGTTCCCCTCAGTACGTAATTGCTCAAATCTCTTCCATCTATTTAGAAAGGAAACTTGTATTTGCTCCCGTGCCTCCGGTTACCAAGGCCCCGCCTCTCTCTCCTTCTCAGCCAAGCTCCTTAGAAATGCCTTGTATGTACATCCATTCATTCCTCACCCACTCCAGTTTGGCTTCTGGCTGCAGCACGGCACTGAAATGTCTCTTGCCAGTGACCTAGTTGCTAAACTCAGTGACTACTTTGAGGCTTCATCTTCCTTGACTTTTAAGCCTCGTCTGGTCCTGCCGCCTACTCTGTCTTGATGCAGACCGCGCCCCCCGCCTGCGAGGACCTGCTTTCCTCCAGGCGTCTTTCCTGACGTCCTCTGGGAGCCCCCTTCCTTAGCCGCATCCTTTACTCATTGCTGCTACCCTGGGTGCGGCCCCAGACCTCTTCCTAGGCAATTTTTTTTTCTTTAAATTAATTAATTAATTAATTTTGCTTGGGGCTGCGTTGGTCTTCGTTGCTGCACGCAGGCTTTTCTCTAGTTGTGGCGAGCAGGGGCTACTCTTCATTGCAGTACACGGGCTTCTCATTGTGGTGGCTTCTCTTGTTGCGGAGCACGGGCTCTAGCTGCGCGGGCTTCAGTAGTTGTGGCACACAGGCTTCAGTAGCTGTGGCTCGAGAGCTCTAGAGTGCAGGCTCAGTAGTTGTGGTGCATGGGCTTCGTTGCTTCGCGGCATGTGGCATCTTCCCGGACCAGGGCTCAAACCTGTGTTCCCTGCATTAGCAGGTGGATTCTTAACCACTGCGCCACCAGGGAAGCCCTAGGCAGTTATTTATACTCATGGCTTCATCGGACATGCACACACTGATGACTCTAAGTCTCTCTCTCCAACTCACAAGCTGGTAAGTTAACCTGTCACTGAATCTTGGATGCTGGCAGAAGACATGACGCTGGGTCAGAGACGTAGGACTTTCTATTCAGGCACCCACAGCACCTAGCGTGAGCATCAGCATATTTGCATCAGTTCCCCTGGCCTCTGAGTCCTGCAGGAGCAGTGTGCTGGGCCCAGAGGGATGCTGCGCACGCAGCGGGTTTGCACCACCAAGGGTGGAGGACACCCAGCTTGGGAATCTACTGCTTATATAGGAAGCCAGTAAGCAAGCCTGGAGGAAACAAACACAGCGCTGAGAAGTGGTCCACATGCAAAGTGGCCAGGTCCTGCCTTCTTGGCACACATGGAGAGATGTGAAGGAGTGCGAGAGGCCCGTGGAGGATTCTCTCTTCCACCAGTGGGTACTTCAGACTCCACAAACGAGCACATCTCCTTCCCAACCTGACTGCCCTGCAACCTGCCCACTCTGGGCTCTGTTTCCTGTGAGTAGCGGCAGCCAGAAACCCTGGAGCCACTGTGCACTCAGGTCTCTGAGCATCTGTGTCTGGTCCCCGAGTCCAGGTGCTGGTGCCCGGGGTGGTAGTTCTCATCTGTGTGTGTGTTCACTGCGTGCTCCGTCCGGGCTTTGTGCTCTCCAGTACAGTGCTCTTTCATCCTTTCAACAGCTGTGAGGTCGGTCTTACTATTGTCCAGACTTCACAGCTGAGGAAATGGACTCTTTGAGAGGTTAGTAATGGGCGGGGTGGGGATTCACACTCAGGTCTGCCTACCCTGAAAGCCTAGCTGTGAATATGACTTGATATCATGGATCCTACTGGATACACATTACACGGTACAGTCCTGGCCTTGTGGACGACCTGTCGTTTCCACCCCAACCATTGCGTCACAATAGCCTTCTTTCTAACTTGTCTCCCCACCGCCAGTCTTGCCCCTTCTAGTGCATCTTGCATGGAGCAGCAGGCGCCATCGTTCTAAAAGGGGAAACGCGGTCACAGGCACACAGGCACACAGACACACACAACCTCTCCCCCTCCAGTGACTTACTATCCCTTTCGGTCCAAACTACTCAACATGCGTTGCTGTTCTCCAGGTGCCACACTGTCATCATCCTGTGTTACTTACACCTGTCCCAAGATGCCATATTCCTTTTTTTTTTTTTTTTTTTTTGGCCATGCCGCACGGCTTGCAGGATCTCAGTTCCCTGACCAGGGATTGAACCCAGGCCATGGCAGTGAAAGCTCAGAATCCTAACCACTAGGCCACCAGGGAACTCCCAAGATGCCATCTCCTGTGCCTTTGCACACACTGCATATGTTCCTGGGACGTCGTCCTTCACCTCCTTGACAGACGCCTAGTCCTTCCTCAGGCCTCGGTGTAGGCATCACCTCCCTTAGGAAGCCTTCCCCGAATGTCTCCCAGGCCTGCCTCCATGTGACTACGATACCCCGTGAATGCAACTGCGTATTTTGTTTCTTGTTCGCTGGCGCACGCTGCTGCTCTGCCCGGAGCACATCCGCCTTCACCCCTTCACTGGCCAATCCCTCTTCTTCCCTTGCCTCCCGCCAGCCGGTTAGGTGTCCATCTCGTGTTGCTCCAGGTCTGCCGACCTGTGCCGACACTGCTGTCGTGGCCGTGGCCGGTGATCTCATCAGGGAGGAGCTCAGCAAACATCTGCTGAATGAAAATCCCGTGGGCCCCACCCCCTCCCCGTGCACGGCAGGCGCTCAGGAACCTGAGCACTGATATGCCGGTGGCGTGTGTTGACACAGACGACCTTCAGGAAATCCACTTGCAGGCAACTGAGAAGCAAACGGGACAAGAAAGTTGAGAGCGCTAATGTAGCTTGTTCTTTCAAGAAACTTGCTTGTGCATATGGGCTGGTGAACAGAGGGACACGGGGCAGAGGCTGCTGCTGTTCCTTGTTGGCGGTTTGTTACAAGGGAGATGGATCATTTATTTAGAGGGAATTTACCCTTTTGGTCATTCTCTTCTAAGCAGGTAAATTTTGTAACATGAGAAGCACTGGCCTTTCCTCACCAT